CCATCTAGGGAGTCTAGGGAGTCATTTAAGATCAATTATTTGAAAAATCCATGTAAATGCTAATATGATAAAATGCCAGATTCAGGAGATGGCAAAAATATGTGATGGGAAATTAACTAATACAACAAAATCCTGCAAGAATTTGTTTTAACCATCTGAGAGATCATGATGAGAGAGAGAACTAATTGAGCCCTACCTAGCAAAGAGTTGTACAATTTTGGGATAATCTGTGAGAATACCAGTATCTAATTTAGTGCTAATTTTATACTATATAGATCATGATCAAAGGTTTTGAAATTCTTTGCAAACAAGTGGATTGGCATTTTTATGGAACCTTTTTAGTTTCACTATTCTGGATTGTTGTTGTGAGGATAAGAGAGGAGGAGGAGAATTATGTAAGCCGCCTTAAATTCCTTGAAAGGAAAAAAGGTGAGAAATAATAACAAATAATTTTATGTGGTAAGCAGCCTTGGTGATTTGGAGTGAAAGTTGATCACATTTTATTCATTTCAGGAAAAAAACATGAATTACACATAAATAACACATGACGGTTTAATTTTTTGTTCAAATTTGTAATTTTAGGATCAGTTGTTATAAATTGCTCCATGTATTTTTAAGCATTTATTGCTTGTCAGCTGCTCTAAGCATGCTGCACTAGTAGAGGCAGGTGGGAAATGCGGATTGACCGAGCCTGCAAATCTCTTTTGCTTAATCCTTCGATAATTTACCCCCAGTGGTGCCATCACATCCTGTATCTCTTGATACTTAGGGTGTTTCATTAAATTTTGAATCTGGTTCTACAGAAATAAATAAATCCACTTCCATTTGATTTCATTGTTTAATAGCTCTTTGCATAGATTATACATGTATTATGTACTTTGGCCAGGTTCTAAGTGCTGTATAGGGAATTTCATAAAGTATAGCAAGACTTCAGGTTTTTCTTTAGATTGAGTCTCCTATACCCCACAAGCCTGGTGAACTCAGGTGGTCTTTAGAAATCAGCTGCACTCCAAAGAGGCAGATGGATTCATATGCAAAACATTGTGTGTGTACCCATGTGCATTTTGTAGTAGGCATTAAAACAGTCAAGATGTGAAGGATAGAATATAGGGAGATTTGTGGCTTATCATAAAGTGTGCAATCAGGTCACCAAATTTGATACTTCAAAGTCTAATTTCAGTATTTCTATCTGGTAATGCTGGAATTGGCAGCATTTACAGTCATATACTACGTATAAAGGGGATGGGGGTCATGGGCATCCCCATAAGCTCAGTAATTCCCAGCACCCTACATGCCTTGCTGTCTGATCCACAAAGCTTTGAATGGCTTTGTAAGAGTATTTACCAAACACTCATATCCTGTCTTACCAGGTCTGATAGCCAAATTATGGGGATGTAGAGCTACAATATCCATTCTGTATAGAGTCCTCCTGTGTAAAATGGTACATAATGGGAGCCCTTCTGGTGTATAAGAGTACATGGTTGCCTTGACCAGATCCAATCTATACCCACCTACCATGTATATGTGAACTTAAACAGTCAGGGTACCTCACTGCTACACTGTCTTGGCTACAGAAGAGATAGGCAACACATATTCCCTTCACTGTGGTTTGGTTTAGAATAAGCAAGAATAGCTGCATTTTGGATATTTTGGAGTGTCCTGTGATGGCCTGCCATTACTAATATGTATATTCATAAGCAGGTGCACATAGAACAAGGAGGGGAAAGATTATGAACACACAACTCTGGTAAAATTTTTCAATAGTAATGCTACTGTGACATTACTGTTAAAATCTTTGATAACATTTTTTATATTTAAGATTTAAACTTTTAGATACAGTTTTGGAGCATTCCATAGTTCCATTGTTAATTATCATTTAGTTATTGTACAGAAATATGTTATAGTGAAGAACTTGGGCTAAAGGCTTAAAATTTAGGTGGGGAACTGCTGAATTAAAATAATTGGCTGTACTGGTTTGGACTGCTGAAAATTGCAGTTCCACATTTAGAGGGCCATATTTTCCTACTCCTTGCTTAAAATCTAAACTTCGGTGCAGTGCCTTTGTTTTCATATAAAAATGAATATGGTTAGCTAGTACAGAGATAGTCACTGGATTCACATAGCACAACAATCATCATGAGTGATTTCTGAATGCAGAGTGCTTCTTGATAACTTCCTGACAGCTCATGACTTGTTCTAGGGGTTGTTTGACCCACAATATGTTGTTTTATCATCTGAACCCAGGGCAGCAACTTCATTGTAGGTTGAGGGATTGCCTGCTAAACAAGAGCAGCAAAACCCCCTGAAATTCTTCAGTATCTTGCCTTTCCGTCACTGGTGAAAGTCCATCCAGCAGTTCCCAGGCTGCATTTTGGAGTCACTTTCAGTGGTTCATCACCATGTTGTAAAAAACAAAACAGTTTGGTCTTAGAAAAGTGCAAAAATGTTTAAATTGCACAAATCATTTTTAAATTATTCTTTAAACCAACATATGCATAATTTTAAATTGTTCTTGGCAAATGCACGTAAGTACACTGAAAAAGAACTATGAAGAACAATGTGGATCATTATCTCCCCTTTCTGGAGCAGCTGGAGGCTGGGGAAAGTGTTGAAAAGGTGGAGGGCTTTGAGAAGTGTCAGTTCAACCCTTAAAAGCATCAGGTTCACATTGTCAAGGAGGAGACACTGTCTCTCTGTGCACTTCCTTTTACTACTTCCTTCCTTTTTGGTGCTTTTCATTTTACAGCTTGGTCTCTGTCAACTGTGCACAATTATCTTGTCATTTTTATGTCTGTTATGTCTTCTGTTTGGATGCTCCCTTTGACAGCTGAAACATACAAGGAAGTTGACCAGGCAAGACTGCACATATTGGACAATTGAAGGAACACACTTGTGAATGACTACAAAATGATGATGGTGATGCAAACACCATTGCATAATTTTCTAGGGTCAAATAAAATATGATCCGCACTTGCACATTTATGAGTCTCCAAAAAGAAAAAAAGGGATTACAGTAAGAGGTTGTGGGGAGATAAGGTAGGCACTACTGTGAAAGAGTCTTGATAATGGCAGGAGAACTGAGAGGAAAGGAGTGAGAGATTAAACCATATTGATCCACTGTTGAGTGAACTGTGGGTTCTTCCAAGAACAGTCCACTTTATGTAGTGTATTCAGAGGGTAGCATAGCATAATATTTAAAGAGGGCCACTTTGTATTCTTCTTTGCAGTACATTAACTGGTTCTTGGTAGAAGAATGTTTACTTATATTGCAAAGCATTATTTTCCTGTCAGGACAGAACAGTCCATTTTATAATATTCTTGCTTGTCTGTCTTCAGTTTGAGGTGAGATTACTATTTTTATAAGCATGTAGTTTTTTTAGCCTTCAATATTTAAAACAGTTGCCATACTACTGTGAAAAGTTTAATTTACACATGAGACAGTTTTGCATGTCTTGCTACCCTGAGAAAAAGCTGCAACTGGGTTTCGTGGTTTGTCTGTTACTCCTGATAAACAGCTGGACACTGTGGTTTGTGATGGCTTGTTTTTTCCTCTCCTGGCAGTTGTGTCATTTATCTCTGCAGCATAAAATCTAACTTCCTATATCAGCACACTTTCTGCAACTGGTCCCAAGGGGTTGTTGGCTCAAAAGGAACATCGTCCCACCTACATCACAGCACCAAATGCATATAATTTTATGAGCCCTTACAAATGGGTTAACAAACTTGAAAAGCTGCTCCTGCCATTGTCATGGCTTCCCCCAGCCCTTTGCTTTGTGCTTGTTGCTTCCCTTTTTTAGTTTCCATTGTTAGCTGCCACTATGGGTATTGGGTATGGATCAATGACAGGGATTACTAATGATAATACAAATTTCATGCAGAGCCTAAAGTAGAGGAGGAATATACTCAAATTTTGTAGTGGTGATTTTGAATGTGGAAGGCCATTTTATAAAAGGTGGTGTGTGCATTCAGGACACATTTAAGTGTTCCCTCTTCCCTCATTTTTAGGAGTATGCAGTGGAGGCCATTGACAAGGCTTGAGGGAGGATGGCAGCCATACTAGTGAGTGTAAAGAGTAGTGGTGGGCAGGAGGTGGGGTGTTGCCTTTCCCCTGGAAATTCTCAAGCTGTTCCCAACAGCGTGCAAGGAAGTTGTTCTGCCAGGTTTAGACATCACAACTGAGCTATTTGTAAACAACCCAGGTTAAAAAAAAAATAACCTCTGAATTTGGAGAAACAGCCCACATGACAACCTGCTGTGATTTAAGTAGTGCAGGAGTACCTTTACATTCCAGAGACCTGTTTCCTGTATTGTTCCAGCATCTGTAGTACGGGCTCTGTGATGGAGCTTGGTAGGTAGCCCTAACACTTCATTGAGGCCTGTCTCAACCTCCTGCAAATCGCTCATGCTCTGAAAATATATAGCTTGGTGGGAAATGGGAGGTGTGTACTGATTTCACCTTGTCCTGATCTTGTTGCAGTGGGGCAATGGGAAAAGTGAACTGTGAGCCATGTGGACTCCACACGTGATAGCTGTGCTGTGACTGCACTATCAATCTGATTATATTTATAATATATGTACTTTTTTTTGGAGGAGAGTAAAACAACAGCGTGTTATCCAATAAATGGGGAATTTGAAGGAATAATCTAATTGTATGATGTCTGGTTTTGAAGGTTGACTAATACCTGACTATTTTTTCTTAAGACTGAGCATGCTAGGAGTTTGGGTGCAAAACGTGCGTGTTGCTGGGCATAGGAAGTCCATGCTCTTCTGGGGTCTGACTGATGAAATACCACATTCTATATTCGTATATATTTAGAAAGATGAGAAGTTGCTTAGGCTTTCAGTTTTGCTTTAGAATTAAAGGGATTTTTTTTTTTTTTTAATGTACAAGTAGTGATTAGCCGATTCCCCCCCCTCCTTTCTTCCCTCTTCCTTTTGGCAGATCTTTTAAAATTGCATGATGTGTGATGAGTTGGAGATTCTTAACAGGGAGATTGAGAGGTTATTGCAAAGCTGCAGCGTGGAAGGAAGCACTTTAAACTCAGACTCTCTTCAGCCATCAAGCTCTGATCCCTCGGATGTAGCTGCTGCTTTAGGCAATGAAGCACAAGGCAGTTTAGTGAAGGTATCAAATACCTTAATGTTACAGGACTCACAAGACCATCCCGTCTTTTCAATGTTGACAATATCTGCATTGCATTCTGACAGCTTTTCAGCATAATAGTTGTCCCCCATTATCCAAATCCCTATTTTATATAATAAGTATTTTGTATCTGAAAAAATATATATCAAGATGCATATAAATGAAATACAGAATTATTGTAGGGATTTTATGTCATTTGAGTGAATTGTTTAGATTTCAGATGTGTATAGTACTTGAGTTATGTTGCCCAATTTTGGCAATGTAAACTAAAACCTTGGTTTTGTTTTGTTTTGTTTTGTTTTGTTTTGTTTTGGTGGTTAACCAGAGTCATCAATAGAACTTTCTAAGTGTGTCCCTTTAAATGAGATAGAGTAGAATCTTCAGGCTTTTGATCTGTGGTAGTTAGGAATTGTCTGTTGGGGAATGAAGGTTAGTAATGGATAGTGAAGAAACTGACAGATAGTAGAAGAAGTGATACAATGCTCAGAAGGAATCTGACCAAATCAAAACAGGGATTGTTTTAATTGCTAAAGATCTTTTCAAATAACCTTAAAATAGATAACTTTTTCCAAGAAATATTTCATTAAATGGGAATAGCCTACAATTTATGGGATGGTGAACATGTGAGCTAATACAATATGTAAGGAAAATTTCTATTTTGCAACTGCTTGTTCTGTGACCTTCGTAAGAACTTAAAAATAAAATCTTAGGTTAGGGTCAGGAATTGAAAGCAGGTAAATTACCTTGAGCTACTTTTATCTAGAAAAATGCCCAGTTAATTCCCTTCATATGAATTATTAATGAAGGAACAGAATGGGAAGGTGTTGTCAAGTGTAGCATGTAGAAATTATTAATACTTAATAAGGTCCACTTTGCCTATAATGTAATGAAATTACACTTTGATGGAATTTTTCATTTTTTAGTTTCTGTTAATCTTCAAGAACTGTTTGCCTGCAATGGCTAAGAAGTAATTCTGTTGAACAAACATATACGTACATTTTCCTGCAACAGGCAACCATACCATGTGGAGTGTTGCAGGTTTCAGAGTCTTCAGAATGGCTTCAAGATGAACATTGTTCTTCTAACTTCCCCAGAGCAGCTTGTGCTGTAGGGATTATGCTGAGTGATTCTGACTTACTTCTGTCCTCCAGTGATTCTTCCTTTGATTTGAGTCAACAATGGGCAGAAAAAATCCTGGCATCCTCTAATGCTGTGTCAGGTAAAAGCATTTAGAGGATATTGGAGACTCTTCTATTTCTTTTCCTTTTTCTGGAAGTTGGGGTTCATATGCTGTACTAATCTTCTTAACCTGTCTAGAGGTAAATGCCTGTGTTAAGATGTTAAAGTTGCATTGCATTACAACCGCTTTTTTCTTCAGAAATTCTTCTGTAATATTGAAAGAATATCATAAGTCCCATGTAAAGCCTGCTCAAATTAAAAAAAAACAAAATAAAACTTTGCTGCTGCAGATAATCAACTTCAACATCTGCTGAAATGCAGCAGAGACACTGGGGAGAGGCCAGTTGGCCTGCTTCTGCTCTTTTCCATGTGCAGTGGCAATTGTGTGGAACGGTGGAGGAGAATACCTGGATAGGGCTATTGGTCAAATGACATATATGCAGTTTGCTTCTCAAAGCTTGGGATTCTTTATACAAGTTCTGAAAAAGTGGAAGCCAAACCCTGTGGTTTTGCTTTGAGCAGAATACATTATGGAAAGACTGTTACCACATCATTTTATGTGGTTGCTCTTTTCTGTGCTTGGGCAGGAACCTTTCCAGGTTTTCCTCTCTCAGGTGCTTTCTGGTGCTTTAGGGAATGACTACGGAAAACTGACCAAATGTCAAAAGCCCGAATGAGCATGAATAGCGAGCAGTTCTTGTGACTGCATCCTGACTTGCACCTGCCTCAAAAGACAGATTTGAGCAACTGCTTAAAATTATCTGTCAACCAATGGCAGTGTATTATGAACAAAGGCTACTTTGCTAGTGGAGAGTGTGCATGATAACAGCTCTCCATTGGAAGCACTGTAGCTGGGTTCATAGGTGGAAAGCAGATGGGAACTCAGAAAATTGGTGTGTGAGCCTTCTGGTGTTTTTTGAGTTGGATTTTTTTTCTAGCAATGAGTACACCCATGCAGTCAGTGAACAGAAACTGAAATGAACAGAAAATGCCAAAGTAAAGAAGTCAAAAGTATTTAGGCAATGTGGATCTCAGGCAAAGCTTTGAGAGGGATGACTAGCAGTTAGGGTATATTATGCTGCTAATTCAGTTTGAATGTTTCTGTCTTATTGAGGGCAGAAAGTGCAAGCATGGAGCTGTTTCAGTAAGGGTATGTACTGTGTATAATGTCCTATTCAGGATATTTGATGGAACACACACTCTTCTGATTTTATACATGGAAGATAAGGGTATGTCCTAAATGGTGGTTTAACAATAAGATGAATCATAACAGACAATTCAAAATGCATAAGAATTGTTGGAATATTCTTCAGATATTGGGGTTTGCTTTTTTTACTATTCATGATATTAATGAACCATTTAATATTTCCACAAAAATCTACTTGCTATTGTAAAAGCTTTTTTCACTGATAGTAGATTATTTAGTTTATTTTTGGTCTTTTCAGAGGTGACATTCGGGAATAGTGTTATCACTAGTATGGAAGAAGAGAATTTGGAATCTGTCGCACTGGAGACTGAATCTAATATGGAAAACTCATCTCTTGGTAAACTATTTATTTATCTTACTTGATATCATAAGATATCATAAGCATGCAATACATATACATAGAAAGTAGAGTATAATATCAACATACAAACAGGAACAAAGAAAATACATAAAAAAAAATTGCAGCTAGTCACAGCACTAGCATGATAAACAGGTTTGTCATCAAGAGGACTGTAAAACTTGACTTATCTTTTGTGTCTCAAAACAAAATGTATCAGGCCCTTCCTGGGGATAAGTGCCAGTACCAGAAGGCCTGCTTATTTCCTTTTACTTGTTTGTGCTATTAATCATGGTACAACCAAGAGGGCTTCCTCAGAAGATCTCAGGAGTTGATTGGGCATATATAGGAGTAGGTGGTTAGTTAGGTGTTCTCACCATGAATTATTTGGTGAAGTGAATAATTTAATAAAAGCGTATATTATTATTTCTTCTTTAACTTCTATACCACCTGGCAGCTGAAGCTCTCTGGGTGGTTTACAACAGTCTATTATAACAAAGCTTAAAATGCACCACAATATAAAAACTTTAGGAAAATTATCATACAAAAAGATTTAAAATGGTATTTAAAATGCATATAAAATTGCAATAACTTAAGAAAAATTTGACCTTGTGCCAAAAAGATAGGTTGGCTCTAAGCAGGCATCAGTGAGGAGCTTGTTCCTTAACTGGGGCAAGCACCCTGAAAAGGCCCTTCTTGTTGCCACCAACCAAGCCTCCCTCAGGGCTGGCAGTCAGAAGCAGGTGTAATACAATCAGACCATCTGGTCCCTGATATTAGTCTGGCTGTTGCATTTTCTATAAGCTGCAGCTTCCTAATGGTCTCCTAGAACAGGTTGGAATCCCTCCATCCAGTAAGAACAGCCACCCGCTAATCTTTCCCTCAAGTTATAAAATTAGGGTGCTAGCGCTACTGCTTATGCAGCCAAAATGATACCTCTCATACAGAAGGTATTGGCACACTTAGGTGGACCCCAAGGTTTTTAGAAATACAAATTCTTCAGGGAAAAAGTGTTGGGAGGCCAACAATCCCTGAACATTTGAAAACAGTTTGGAAATTTTAGTTCAACGTACAGCTGCACGTACTACCTGGCACTGGTAAATATGATCATGTGATACCAGTTTTTTCTGCACTGGCATCCAGTGTATTGGGCTCTGAATGTCATGAGGCCAGAGTATCTAAAGGAATCCCCCCCCCCCCAATCTGCTGGCACCATTAGGTCAGCTTTGGTGGTGTTCTCATCAAAGGAAGTTAGATGGTGGCTACAAATGAGAGTTCTTTTCCAGTTGTGTTACCCCATTTACAGAGTGCCCTCTTCATGGAAATTTATACCGACACTGTGCAACACCAGGCAAAGGACTATTTTCTTCCAGATACTTTAGGCTTTAATGGCTATTTTTATATATGTTGACATTGCTTTTCCTGTTCTGTTTGGGATTTTTTAAAATAGATTTCTTCTTTTACCTTTATGTAAGAAAATTTGTTGTTGAGTATATTAAAAAAAATAAACCTCCCTCTGTGGAATGAGCATAGTGGGTTATAATGCTTTTTGAACCCAATCTGTAAGAAGGCAACAGTTGTTTGTCTTCCCTTCTGTTCATCTTGATCAGTCTTACAACCTGTTGATTACCTTAATAAGAAATTACCATAACTCTGGGCTGATGATCACAGTGGTATTGTGGCTGCAGTCTCAGATCCCCTTCACTTTGGGATCTAAAGTTGGAAAGGGGAGGGAGATGGGCAGCTGAACTTGAGAAATACATCTTTCAAATGCAGAGGAAAAAGATTTAGTTGACATGAAGTCCTCCAAGTGAAGTGGGAGATGTGCCTCATGCCTTGTTTCTTTTATAACCTTGTATTTAGCCTGGTAGGAATTTTAGGAGGAAGTAATTTTTTTCTTTTTGCTGTTCAAAGTCATAACCTGTCATGTTTTGCATTTTTTCCTTTGTTGTATTGTTCATGATAAGGAAATTAAAAATGTTCTTATCCATAAAAATACATTTTAAATCTGTTCTCTTCGATATCAGCTTTGGATGACAAAGGTGATCAAAGTAATGAGGATGAACAAAAGACAGTTAAACCCACCAGTAAGGAGTTCAAGAAAACATGGGGTTTTCGGAGGACTACAATTGCAAAGCGTGAAGGATTAGGGGATGTTGACATGGACATCACGGAGCAGTCATCTCCACAGCAGCAAAGCCTGGCTCTCAGGCGTAGCGGGCGACAGCCCAAGCGCACTGAACGAGTTGAAGAATTTCTTACAACAGTAAGGCGCAGAGGAAGGAAGACTCTTCCTGCAACTCTTGAGGACCTGAGTGAGCCAGCATCCTGCCATGTTACTGACATTGAAACGGCTTCTGAAGGCAGCGTAGAGAGCATGCCAGATATAAAAAATGTAACTCAGAAATGTCGGTCCAAGGACAGTAAGGGCCAGTCATCTCGGAAAAGTAGAACTGCTAAAGACCATGAGGAGGAGGGGGAGGAGGAGGAGGATACATCTGACAGTGATAGTGATGGGTTAACATTGAAAGAACTGCAGAACCGTCTCAGAAAGAAACGTGTTGAGGAGAATCCTACAGAATTAACACTGAAAGAGTTACAGAATCGGCTCAGAAAAAAGCATCAGGAGCAAAATCCCACTGAGACGGTTGACGTCCAGGCAGGCAACCAAATTAAGCATGAAATAGTTGTAAAGCAAGAACCAGAACATACAGAGAACACTGAGGTTGGAGATCAAGTAATTGTCTCCAAGGAAATTGCCGAAGCCATTCAGGTTAAGAAAGAAACAAAACCTCCTGGGCAGATCAGTGATGACATTGAAGAATCTGCAAAAAGGAAATCAGAGTCTGAGGTTTATGATCCTAGTACACTGTATTGTATTTGTCAACAGCCTCACAACAACAGGTATTCTTTTACAAAAATATAAAAATAACTGTACATCATATAAAGCATTATTTAGGAGGTTTGGTTATTATAAAACTCCAAATGCTCATGTATGAATGGATTTGTTCATAAGGAATGAAAAATAACAATTTAGCAGAAAAGTATGTAATACACAGGCACTTATACAGATGTTTGGTATTGTACAGACAATGTTGAGGGATGAGGGAAGTGAATTTAATGAGGATCAAAGGATACGAATGTAGATTCATATTCAGATTTCCATGCTGTATGAAAATAACACAGGATTTGGATTGCTGCTATGCCACCAGGGGGCACTTCTGCAACAATTTCACATTCATCTGTCTGTTCAGTAGCCTGTGAGGTACAAAACACTCAAGCATTCAAGGCAGAGAAATCTACGTAGTTGAAAACTGTTAGAAGTAGCTGCCTGGAGCTTCTGGAAAGGAAACATCAATTTTGAGGAGGCTTGTTCCTGTGTAGACCCTAGAGATGTAAAGCAGGCAGAGAAAGACAGATATAAGCAATATACCAAGGTGGTAGCAGTCACCTGGAAGGTTGAGAACAGGGAGTCACAACATTAGCTGAGACATTGCTAGAGGATTACTGAACAATATGAAGTAAGTTTTAGTCTCCAGGTGGACCTTGATGGTATTAGAATGTTATGAAACCAGTTTTATAAGTTAAATGTGATTGTAGACAAGAATAAGCCACTATATGTTTCTAATGCATTTTTGCAAACCCTTTCCCTTTTAGGTTTATGATCTGTTGTGATAGATGTGAGGAATGGTTTCACGGGAACTGCGTAGGGATTTCAGAGGCTCGTGGGCGACTGTTGGAAAGGAATGGGGAGGACTATATCTGCCCAAATTGCACTATTCTGCAGGTGCAGGATGAAACAGTTATGGAGGCAGACCAACAAGAAACCATGTTAGGTCAGGTAACGGGTGATGGCACAGAACTTACAAGCATAGGAACGATTGAGCAAAAGTCTGTTGAGGATCAAGGAATCAAGGGACGGATTGAAAAAGCTGCAAATCCAAGTGGAAAGAAAAAACTTAAAATATTTCAACCAGTAAGTATTCAAATCATTCATCTTCACTTTATAGCTGCATTAGGCTATGTGTTTCTATGAGAAGTCATCCACTCACATTCTTAACTAAAAACTGTTATCCTAAGTATAATAGTTTTATATTTTTGGTGTATTGCTTATCTCCATAAGCAGATGCACTAATTAGATTTTAATAAGTTATGCTTAGTGAAACAGGATCCAAACATAATTTTCTAAAAGGATTGATCATAACATTTTAGAAAGGGAAAGGGTTTAATTCATGGTTACCACTCTTACTAACTGCTGCATCCTGGTCTGTCATTGTTTTCTCATTCCCCCTCCTTTAAGGTACACTTGCTAGGCTTATGTTTTGATCATTGAGTAATTGTTGTCATTTAAATGTTACCGATTTTCATAGACAGATCATTAATGAGACTTGCTTTGGTCCCTCTGTTCTGGTTTTGTGAACGTGTCCTACAGGACACTTGTCTGTCATTTATCCTGGCTATTATATCAAGTGTTTAATGGTTTGAATATTCAAGAGTGGCAACTAGATCCTTAAAATGGCTGGGTGCTTCACAACTGTTGTGAAAGCTGCTGTGTTAGTGTTAACCGATTTTACTAGTTGCTAGTCTCTACCCACTTTTCTGCATGTGGGGTCATTTATGTTTCAAGTGTTGTGGGGCATTTTCTTAAAGAACCTTTTAAACATTAATATGGAATTATGGCATTTAAATTTACAGTTGACAATCTTGTGCCAAGTTCTAAATCTGGATGTTACTTCTCCTTGTCTGAAAATGTTCATATCTACTTGGCCGGTACTTCATAAAATAAGATGTATACAATTAATTTATAAAATTGTGGTCTTTCTATAACATCTTTTATAACCATATTTCATGGGATTCATGGAGGAGTAATCAGTATTATTATCAGAATGTGCAAATGTGTAGGTTTCTCTTGATCCTTTCTTTCCTATTGGGACAAAGCCACTCTATGAATAAAACTTAGAATGACCTAATTTTACCATAATTTACAATGGTTGCTTCTAAGTGGCATTATTCACAAGTTACAGTCCACCCCAGAATAGATAACCAAAGTAAGGAAAGTAGTAGAAATGGGAGACCTTGAAGAGTAGAGTTGCACTTCTATCAAACTTGGGAATCTTTTTATTATTGGCTAGAGAAACAGGACTTCGCATAGATTTAAATATGTTTTTAAGTTATCATAAATGGAAAAAGAAGGGTGTGAGGACTGACCCAGCGGGCTCAATGTTTTTGATGATGGATGTTGTTTGTAGTTGTTGTTGTTGTTGTTTTTTTAGGATTATAACTTCTCAAATAAAACTTATTTAAAAAAAAAGGAAAAGAATAGAGTTGAGAGAAAGCAGACAGTATCAATTTGAAAGTCTGGCTACTCTTAATTCAATTTTTGGAAAAGGTGCAGGAAATAAATACCTTGCATTATCTTCCCTGTTTTCGCATTATTTTCTGAGTACCAATTAATCTTATTGTTATATTTTGATTATAGTTGGCTGTTAAACATATCAGTTTATTTTTCATCCGTTCTTTATGTATTTCATTGAGTTACATCTCATAATTTGGCTGGTCTTGTTGGCCAAGCAAAAATGGTAGCCGCCACCTCCACTCTCTTTCCTTTCACGGTGCAGAGTGTGTAGAAAATGCATAGCATGTTCGGCTTTGCTGCCTAAAGGGGCTTCATGTATTAGCCAGAAGAACCCATGTCTCCCCCCCCCCCCAGTCTTCCAAGAAGGATGGGTGGCAAGGGATGTGCCCTCTTGGACCCTGCTTCTCCCAAAATGCATAAAGCATCATTAGGCAGCAGAACCCTTACTTGAGAGCAGGAAAGCCAAAGTTTTGCCTTGGCAGTAGATGCTAGGCAGCCCTCAGCCTTCTTCCCAGCTCTGCAGCTGGGGGGAGCGTGGAATCGCCATGCAGCTGCTTGGGTGATCCCTGCCCATGCCTTCAGCTTCCAAGTAGGGAGGGAGGCTAGCTGATCGGCAGACTCTGGTAAGTAGTACTAGTAAGCGCTGCCACTCCCACCATGATGAGAGGAGCAGATGGATTTAATGAAGCCTATTGATAAACACTAAAAACCACAGAAGTGTAGATCATGGAGGAGAAGGGAGTTTTCTTTCACCTGCCATAGGATTCAAGCCTATTAATCTATACTGATTTTTGTGGATAACAGTGCATGTGAATGTCATACTATAGGGAAGACGCCCATACAGAAAAAATGGGCAGATTCCACAACCCCACTGGCCATGTTTGTAAATGGTGACAGTGAATTGATTTGCATAAAACGGTGCTAAGGCTTGGGTTAATTAAACTGAAATAAGCTGCAGAACCTGCCGGTAGCACTTTGCACATCAAATCCCAGGAGCAGCGTTGTTTCGTCATGTAACTCAGTGAGCATGGCTTGTGCAATGACCCTTGCATAACCCATTTTTGTTTCTGTTTTTTAATCCTTGCATAATCTCTGCTTGCCAGGTTCACATAAAGCAACAACTTTCAAGTGTGGACTAGATATGCAAAATGGAGGCCACACAATCCATAGCCTTACTGTGGGTTATAACACATGGTGGGCTGTCATGTCGTAAGACTAGCTCATTGTGTCAAATATTGTGATCTCTATCATCCTGCTCATCCAACTAGACTGCGCTTTTGAGGAAAAGCGTCATAGTAATCAAGATAAATTTATAAGATATGAATAGGACTGTGTCATTTTATTTGCATTTTGATGTCTTTCTCGTTTTCAGTATGTATATTTAATGTAGAAAAGTACAGTATTTATACTTGTATGCATTCAAAAATCAAAGCAAATTTTTAAAAGTTGATACTGGGACTACATAGGAAGCAGGAAAAAGGAAGGTACAATAGTTTGGCAGTAAGAATGCCTTGGTTCATAAGTAATGTCCAAACATGGGTAAAACAACTGTGGTTAGTCAGGCCCATGTGGGAATAGACACTGCATCCTGACTGTTCACCACTTATGATTCATTCCTGAATTGTGCTCTGTGATTGTAAGTCATTGGAGAAACAGCCCAGCAACAAGCCATGGGTTTAAAATTCTAAGTCTGTTCATTCTAGACTAACTAAGAGTTCTGGGTTTATAGAATTATAAGATAGTAGAGTTGGAAGGGGCCACATAGGTCATTGGGTCCAACCCCCTGCTGTTGCAGGACACTAAGTTGCAGCATCCCACTCAGATGGCTGTCCAGTTTCTTTCTGAATGTCTCCAGTATGGGAGAACCCACCACCTCTCTAGGCAGCTGGTTCCACTGTCCTATTGCTCTGACAGTGAGGAAGCTTTTCCTGATGCCCAGCCTGAACCTGGGTTGTCAAAACTTGATTATTTCGTGTCCTACACTTTGTGACAGCCTTTGAGGTACTTATAGAGTGATACCATGTGCCCCCTCAGTCTTCTCTTCTCAAGGCTGAATATGACCAATGAGGACAGCACACATGCTTGTTCCCATGGAGACCTGACAGCTATTGATTGAACAAACCATAGGTTATTGTTACATCTGTTGTAGGCTACTTATTACTCTTGATTATTTTTCAAAATACTATTTCTAACTTATGTCGGGATGTACATTCAAAGTGACATCCAAATAGACACTTTAAATAACTAAAATAGTTGTAGGTGGCAGTCTGAAAAGCGACGTGCATACAAGCTCACATCAGATAAACACAGATAAAAGAAAATATAGGTCAACAGTTATTGTTACTTTTTAGATGTTGTTATACTAAAGTGCTAATGGGCCAGACTTAAGCATGTAAAATAGCTCCATCAGTGCACCAAATAAAATAAAATTTTATGCTTAGTGTAGTTGCAGTGAATTTTTTCTGGTATATTATCAGGTAAAACACTTTTTCAGATGCTGTTTCTGTTCTTGTGCTATTCTTAAGGTAGTTGAAGAGCCTGAAGCAGCCAACTGCATTGGACCAGGATGTTCTAACGTGGCACAATCAGGTTCTGTGTACTGTGGTCATGAATGCATTCTCAAACATGCCGCAGCCACCATGAAGTTTCTAAGTGAAGGCAAAGAACAAAAGCCGAAAGAGAAGGCCAGACTAAAAGCTGACCGAAATGTTGTTGTAAAGCCCCAGCTTTTGGTAAGTTGGAATTGGTTTGAAGAAAACAGTTATTTCCATGAACAGATTTTTGGGGGCAGAGTGGGTACGAACAGGTTTGTTGAATACTTAGTTTAAATAAACACATTTGTATGGCAAAATTTTTTACATTATGCAAAGAATAGTGCCTCGGACTGCTCTGTGTTTGTTTTTTCTCTTTCTGCATGTGCTGCTGTTTTGTGACACTAGTTAAAAAGCAACAGCCCACAACTGTACTTAAAGGTACAGTTCAAAGGATTAAAAAACCAGAAAAACCAAACTCCCAAGCCAATAATACTACCGTGGACAATATAATCAGTACATCTCTAGCACAGCCTGGCCTACAATTGTAGATAAATGGTCTCAGCCAGTCTTCATCAAGGCACCTCTAATTCTCATGATACATTTCTAAACACATAACAGATTGTTCTGCTACTGTGGACAATAATAGCACAGATAGTCATAACAGCTATGCGTGAAATTTTTAATACACCCAGCTCCAAATTATTTGTTGTCCTGCAAAGAGCATCCAACTTAAAGCCAGGGATGCTGTCAGACATCAATCTGAAGCAGCCAACTCCTTAGGGTTTGTCCGATTTTCTAAAGCATCACAGTCACCAGGCAGAACTTTCAGTGGCTTGAGTGGACTGGTATTGCAAATGATGATCCTTGGAAGATGGATAGCACTTTAAACTGAACAACAACAAGGAACAACAACAAAACCTGGATCACATCAATGGTCTGTCTAGTCTGACATAGCCCTTGCATCCCATTTGTCCTTCAACGAGTATGGGCATAATGCCTCTCAGTATGGAAGTGTGCTGTCATGGCTAATCACTAGTTATGTTTCGAAAATATATGAGAACATACATTATCACATTAATCTTAGCATTAGCACTTTGAAGTAGACCACTGGCTTCCATAGTGATAGTGGGAGGGCTTAGGTTGAGAAAAGGTGGCTTGCTTCAAGTCCCAGGATGACTGTAGGGTAGAAGATCAAGGGATGCCTGGCTCGCTCCATCATCCTTTTATCTGTTATTTTTGTTCAACATCTCCACAGTATACTGCATTGTAATTGACTGAGGGACACTACTAAGTCAAAAGATCCTTTGGTGCTCTGTCATCATCATTACTGTCAAATTTATGTGTCCCTTACTGCTGTAAAGATAGTCCAGAGTGACTTACCCATTAAATCCACACATCCAAATCAATAATTAATATAACTGGGGAAAAAACAAAATCAATAGTAACCATAGTAAACATGATAATAGAAGTACAATAAAACCTAATACTGCAAAATAAATATAAACATGTATTTTACTGCAAATTGTCAATAGGAAAATCAGTGCTTAGAGTTCAGTTGAGGAGCAGATAGTTCTGGGAATGATGAGGGATGTGCAAAACTCATTTTAGCTTGAATCCACACCACAGATTATTGTGAGCTTTGATTTTTTTCTTTAACATGAAAATTTCTATATTTTATGCATATTTTTTTGAAATGGTGCATTTTTAAATGTATTCATGCCACCAATGCATTTTTGGTCTTCAAATCCCATTGGAAATGGATGAACTTTGACCTCAGATTTTTCCTGACTCTGCATTCATTCCAGAAGATGTGGGTAAATAAATCCTGCACAAAACAAACGGAAATAAATTTCTCACACATCCCTAATAGTAATCCTTTAAAAGCTGTTTTTGGTCAAAATCAGCCATTCTAGATTTGTCACAGTGAGCTAAATGCTTGTGAAACATTCTATTTTCAAAAAGCACTGACCCTTATTACAATATATGCCTTTCAGAATCCACTGCAAACTGACAGGTAAAATAGGATACGGTGCTTTTCAGCATAGTTGGTGTTAGGCTTTTTAGAGAGATGACACAAGGTTTATTCTGTTATATCTAAATGGTAAAAGATCAAACAATTGATAAGAGCCTTTTAGATATGCAAACTTAATATTAAAATAAGAGATGTTAAAAAAGCACATCCCAGAGGTGCTTTTTCACAAACATCTGTTGTTGTCTGCTGCTGTTCAGTGAGTCCATGTTGTTCTGTGGACTCACTGAACATGAGCTGCACACCAGCGCTTAAGCAGACTATGTGATCTATACTTATTGCACTGCAGTTGCTTACTACTGAAGAACTTTTGAGCTTGAGAAAGATCCTCGACTTAGTGTTAACTGCTGTTTGGAATTGCACCGAATTTAGGGGTCTGGCAGATGGTATGGAGAGAGATGCAGTATGAAATGCTTGCAATACTTTTGCAATATGCAAGACACTGTTTACCCCTCTAATTCTGTGTTATGATTACTTTAGCATTGCAATCTTTAGTGATTAAGGTTGTGCTGGTTATACAGGCAGGTACCAAACCTCTCTCCATGCAGAAGAAACCAGTTCCTGAGAAGAGAGAGATTACTGTGAAGAAAACAGTGGTGACAGCTGTTAAGACTGAAGCAAACACTCAGACAGTTGCTAAAGAGCCACCCCCAGAAAGCAGCACACCATCTTGGGCAAGCGATCATAATTATAATGCAGTAAAGCCAGAAAAGACTCCTGCCATTTCATCATCACTGTTATTCAAATGTATGTATTTCACAGGGATATTCCTCTGCAATCATTTACATTTTCCTCGAATCTCTTTTCTGCTTTTGGTCCTGCAAAATTAGGAGTTTTAATGACTCCCTTTTTCCATCTTCAAAGATTTGTACACGTATCTCTCAGGGTGTGGTTCAAGGCTCATGCATAGTTTTAACCACTTGGGGTTTATCCTTGGGTTGAACAAAAATGGCTTTTAACCTGAAAGTATATGTTTAATGCTTATATTTTTCATTGACAATAGCTATGTTTGTTCTAACAGAAGGTAGGTGATGATTAAAAATTTAAGTGCATATGATTTATGTAATGTACAGAGTAACAATTGTATTCACTTTAATTTTAGACCCTGCCTGCCTTTGAATCTTGAATCAGGATGTCAAGGTTTCTAAATGATTTGAATGCATAATTTACATGTGTACACAAGCACAGCTTTTACAATTAATTTTTTGAGGGGGGAATCCTCCTTCCAAGAATATGATTTAGGTAAAATTATGTCCAGCTCAAATAAGGAAACATTTTTAATCAATGTAAGCTGTGTGCTGGATAAGCTCCTACCATGGCAGAGTGATTGCAAGTTATCACCTTATATATTATAATTTTTCAGTATTTGAAGAACATCTTTGGCATCTTGCTAGATTAAAAAGGTAAGTAAATGAATGCTTGGTGATAGAAAAGTCATTGTTCTCTTATGACCTTTTCACTGTCTTCATTTAAACAGTTTTGCAGAGTATGTTCTTCATGTATCAGAAGGTGGAGGGAATGGAGTCAAAATGCTAGAACATGTCAAAAAGCATAATTTTAAACCATAATGTAAGGTTCTGGGCAGGTAACGTTTGAAAAAGGCAAGGTCTGCAACTAAAACAACTCCTTCCTTGTCTATAACCTCTTAGCACTATCTTAATACATTCTAAGATTACTGGCAGAAGATGGACTTGGTGAACCTGTGGCGGAATGGAGTTCTAAGCCTTTTCCCAGCCTGCCTTCATTTTGGAGGTCCAGCCCACAAAGTGATAGTTCTTGCCTGATTTAAGTGGTGGGAGGAAAATGACTTTTTTCTAAGGTATCTAAGACCAAAAGACGTGATTAAAAACCTGTTCTAGGTTTGTGTCTCCTCCCTATTTTCATTAATTCAGACACCCATTCAAAGAAGTATATAAATGTTAGTAGTCTGTCTGTCCATACATACTTATGTTATCTGTGGCACATCAGTGGTCTGAAAGGGCCAGTTTACATCCTATTTGCAAAAGCTTCCCTACTTAGTCACCTGAAAGCTATTTTACTTGTTGAGCAAGTGACTGAAAAACCAGAGTGATTTTCATATAGATTGTGCCTTAACTAGTACAATACAAAACAGGAGGCGCATTTTCTTATAAAATCCCATATCTACATGGGAGATTCACGGTTGAAACCACCCGGCTGACATGCTGCTCAAAAATGGATGTAGTCTGTTCACCTTACATTTAGTGAAGAGCTTCCATCATTTCAAGGAGGCACTCCAGCTTGCTGCTAAGGTAAGTTTAATGGATGTCTTCAGGTTCTTTGTATTACTGCTAAAATACCAAATATTACCCTAAAATGTCTCTTTTCTCCTTCAGTGGTGGAGGTTATTCAGGAGTGGATTATTCCTCCGGGTTACTTGGATTATTCCTCCTGGTTACTTGGATTATTCCTCCGGGTTACTTGGAGTGCAACAGTATCCACAATTTTTAGTTTTGGCACTGTGTGGGTTGGGCATGTGCAGAAGTCTGAGTAATTTATCACCTGATGGAGTAGGACTGGATCTCACGTGCATACATGGAATTCTTTATTGTTCCTTTTCTTTCTGATCTCCAAAAGACACACTGCTGTTGTAAAGAGAAGTAAGCTGTACAGCAGTCGGTACTGGAAACATGCCACCATATTAAGCTTCAACTGCTTTGCATCTTTTCCTGCTTCACAAGTCTCTAAAATAACATGCAGCCTCTTTCTGCTCTGCACCTAGGGTGGGTGCTGATGACCCCATGCCAATGAGATGGTCTCTGCGCTGTAGTGCCTGGGCATCAGTGTTCATTTTCGTGAAAAACCACCTTTAACTTCAACATAAGTAGAAGTTAGATACGGCGAACTTCTTACCAACCACACTAGCCATCTTGCAAAATAGGTCTTAGTTACTTTAGAATCATGCCCTACAGTTGGGGCCCTCCAGAGTTCTGAGTGACTTCAGTCAACATCTAGTGGGACATACTGCTCTTCAAGCCAATACGTCAATACACAATACTACTGTTCTGGGGAATTTCACATGGGAAAAATGAGGGAGAATCTTGGTGGTACCATCTGTAGTGCTCTGGGCAAAACAGAAGCACTGGTGGGAGGGAGAGCCTTTCATGTTCCAGCACTCCAAGGAAGGTTCATAATGGCCTTGAGGGTAGAAGAGGAAACAGCTTCAGGATCATATTCTAATAAGGTAGCCAAGTAGAGCTGTTAACACCAAATTTAATACACACAACATACACCCAGAAGTAATACATATCAACAAACTTGTAGGAAATTGCTGAGAAATTGGCAGGTCATGTTCTGGATTTGAATCGCTAGTTCATGGCTAATAACCAACCAACACAGTCACAGTTTCAAGGTGATTATTGTAGTGCACAGGAAGGCAGTCAGGTTCTGTACCCTAACATTCCTATCACATCTTTTGACGTTCTAGCAAGTGCTTAAGTTAAAGAGCTAAATTTCTTTGTAGGTGAAGATTATCTTATGTGAAGGATCATCAGACAAATTATTTTGGGTTGTCCCAGTTTAGTTTCACAAAAACTCTGTTTTGCTGGTCAGGATGACAGAGAACAACTTGCTAGCTGAGCAGGGTTTTGATTATGAAAACCCCACATCCACACCTACCCATACAGATGCCACACTGCTTGAATTACTTCTCAGTAGCAATCAAGTTTATATAATCATTCCCTGCATTATGTAAGACATAGGTATGGAACCTCAACATCAAAACAAATCCAATAAATCTCAACCTTTTGCTGTAACTACATATATATATATGTGTGTGTACTCTGTATTAGGATTTGTGATACGACATTTTAATACGGATGGTTAGTGAACTGGACAGAATGTTCTACTTATTGTCATTTTGAAGGCAGTGGTGCTATACTTTTCCCGGTTTTAAGATGGCCATAGAAAAACTGTAGTCACAAATACAGTGGTATTGAGAATCCAAATAATGGGACAAAGTGATTTATATGGATGCAGGAAAGCTTTAATTAAAAAGCCAACCAATAAATCCCCAAAGCAGACTTTGTGCCACCTACTGGACAAGGAAGAGATAGAATTTCTCAATTTTCATTGTCCCCATTACTATGATTCATATTGTTTAGCATCAAAGCATCAATAGTACAGTTTAAAATATAATTTCAGCTTCTAATTGCTTTTCCTATATTTCGGGTAACAGGAATTGCTGGAATGATAGCCAGCAGTGAAATATGTGACATACTGCTGAGTTTAAAATACCATTCCTTAGGGGCTTTTATTTTTCTTTGGAACACTAGAAATATAAGAGCATTATATAAGAAAAACATTCACAGAGGTCTAATTAGAATTATAAAAGTGAAAAGCAGTAATGAAATTAATAGGTGTTAAGATGGAAACATGCACAATGTTTCTCCATCATGGTAGGAAGTAAAGTTCTTCGCAGTAAAAGAAACACAAGATTATTTTCTTTTCCCAATTAAAGGGACAAGCTATTATGTAATCGCCTATCCAGCATTTAGCTAAGTCCTTTTTAATCTTAAGTCAGAACTGTCTTTCATGAAGAGGCAGGCATGGGAAGGAAGGGTATCAGCTTTAGAAAGTTAATTTCAAGTTGTTTTAGCAGCACTGCAATGATCCCTAAGGAGGAACAATGTAGGAGCTTCAATAAGATAAGTAAAAGCAGTCAGAGCTGAAGATAGTTGCCAGGTTCCTTCACGTTCTGGACTGACCAAGCATGACCTTGCCCTGTGTTTTTTTGCTATTTGTATGCCAAACCTTTCTCTTGAAGTCTCAGTGCTCTTTTTCAAATGTTATGCCCTTAAGGCTCCCTTAAGGGAGGATCATAATACTTGGAATTATTCGGTTCTGACTAAGGTAGCTGTAGTTATATGTATCTTCCTAATTGAAAAAGGGCTGCAATTTGTATATGACTAAGGCCTAGGAGTTATGGTAATCTCTCATAAAACAGTTCTGGAACAGTTTTGTTCCTGGTAGAGTTTTCTCCAGTCTACACCAAGAGTCATAAGCTCTGCATTTATGAAAAGTAGAAATAATTAGCAGTGTATAGAACTAGCTGGGGAAGGAGAGGAGCTGGCTAAAGACTTGGTGTAGTGTGATATTCTAAAGAGATTTTGAGAAATCATTACAATCCCATATGGAGGGAGGCATACAGTAATCTGTATTTCTTCCTTCGGAAATCAGTTGAACACTTCGACATCAAAGAGAGGCAAATCATGGTTTTCTAATCACACGGGGCTTACTCAGATGAGGATGTATAGGTAAAGACTTTAATAGGAAAGTAGATTTTCTCTGGGCATTTTCTATCACTTGTGCTTTTCTGATCTAAGCACTTAGTTTTTTTGTATTCTTAGAGCACTCACAAGACTGTGTCATGAGGCAGGCGTAAGAAACTACAGATGGAGTACAGCATCTCAGGCACAGTCTGGGATTAGCTATGTATAATAAAAAGGGTGTATGCTACAGACTTGTCAGAATCAGAGGTAAGTTCTCATCCATGTAAGATTGGAGGAGGTGGAAATGATGGCACAGCATAGTGAGCAAGAGCAGGCTAATTGTCTAAAGTAGCTCTGTGCCTCCTTCGCCATCTCTTACTCAAATGCTGAAGATAATGAAAGGGTAATTGAATTGCTAGCTATAATGCTGTTTTGTATTTTCTAAATCAATATGTCCTTAAGCTGGCTGAATGACTAATTAGAACTCTTCCTCCCCCTGAAAAAGGGGGCTCTCCATGC